CCCAGCGGGGCCAGCCTGCGCCCTGGAGCACAAGACGCAAGTGTCTTCCCGCCTGGTCTCCCTGAACATGCTGCTCCTTCATCCCAGCACCTGGGCGCCAGCCTGCCCAGCCTGCCACAGGCGCCCCGCAGCCTCTCGCCCCACACGGACTAAACGCATTCGGCACTTTCCACCTCAGCTTGTCTTGTGGGAGAGAGCCAGGTCCCCTCCCCCCACTGGCTATGGCTAACTCAAACAATGCCCAAGAGGTCTCCCATCGAATGGCCCCCAGACAGCATCCTGCTGGGGTGTTTCCCTCCCTCCCTCCCCCCCCCAGGGGCTGTTCCCTGGAGCTGCCCTTGAGAAATCCCAAGTAACAGACCCTGCACTGTGCCCCAGTTGCTCAGACACGAGCTTCAGGCGTGTCTCTTCTGACATGATTTTTACAGGGGGGCTCCGCATCCTGCTTCTCCCATGTCTTCCGGCTGCCCCATTTCCAGACCCCCAAGGGCCCCTCTGCATTAGCAGGGACCTAGAAAGATGCTGCATTTACCATTTTAGCGCCTCCCCCTTCCTCCCCCAACCCCAGCCAGAGGGAAACAGGAGCTACCTTGAATAGCTCCTTCAGCTCCTCCATAGTCTGTTTATTGGCCACCTCATCGTGGACTGTCTGGCCACAGTTCTTGACCACAGACTCCATGACCTGCAGGGAAAAAGACCTAGACAGATGAACACACATGGCCCCTACAGAGCTCAGGCCCAGCTGTTGGAGAGGTGAGCCACAGGGTACTGTAACCTGCACACACACCGGGGGCACCACCTAACCCACCGCACTGGTACCAACTACAGGCAGAGAAACATCTGCGACTTCCAAGTGCCCAGCCAGCCCTTGAACTGGGGCGCTGGACTCTGGTAACAGGGGGGTCACGCTAGCGTGGGGCTCGAACATGCCCAGAGTACGCAGTAGTGCAGGGATGTGCCCCGCCCCTCGCCCCCTGCCATTCACGATTCCACAATGTCCCACTTGCAATCAAAGCGTCCGCCTGCTTGGCACAGCAATGGCAGGGCCGGATGTTAAGTCCTTTTAAGAGGGTTAATTCAGTTTGGCTGCTGGCAAAAGGAACCAGGGTCAACAGCTCGCACGCTGGGGCGTGAGGGGCTCCGAGCTACAGAATCCGCACATCTGTCAGCTGCAGTCCTCGGGGACAGCTCTGCAGAGCCACCATTCCCAGAGAGCAGTCTGAGCAATAGTGTGAGCATCCCCCTGGGGAGACTGCACTTTGCTGGGTTGGCTTCAGCTTACCTCTAGTGCATAGAGCGCCACATGGGGGTTCTTGTCATTGACTTTCTTCTTGATCGCACCGACTGCATATTTAGCTCTGGAAAACAGAGAGCACATGCATTTCGGGCTGAGGAGTCTAGCTACAGCATCGCGGCCCACTGACCTCACTCGAATAATGAGAAAAGGCAAAGGGTTTGATATGGGCAAAAGAACAGGGATGTTTAAGGCCCATTTATTCTCAGGGTCCAAGGTGGGACATGAGCTGCAGTTTCCCAGGTCAGAAACTTGATCTCCAGATGCTGGGTTGTACCATCTCCTGTGCCACGTCACAGGGTAAGAGTCCAGGTGGACCAGGGGGCTGACCCAGGCTGCTGGGCATACGTTCTTAGCCTACGTGCAGTGAGCAGGGCAGGAAGCGGGATGGCACCTACTGAGTGTCTCCCTGACGAATCATGTCACAGATCTGCATGATGGATTCCCAGTCTGTCTCCAGCAGAAGCTGACTGGTGGCTTTATCTGCAAGGAATTGAAATATTCATTAGTCTCTTTGGAACCGGCTGCCTCAGTTCCACCATCTCATGTAGCAGATCTCACTCAGATGAGAAGTGACTCCCCAGCAGTCATTTGGCCAGAGACACCCACTAACTGCCCAGCTTCTTTACAGTCCCTGGTATTTTTGTGCGTCTAATAAGAACTGCTTGGTTCCTTCCAAGTCCACTTTCAAGGGGGCTCAGATTTCAAAACCCATACTGCAAAACAAAGGCAGTCCTTACACAACACTCAGTGTGGCTGCGCAAGGTTTTTACAGTGCTCTCCAACCATCATTAATGTGCTTCTCTGAAAAGAAAAGGACTCAGTTCCCACACCTGTTACACGTCAGTCTGCAGTATGGCTACGCCTACACTGGTATGATCTTGTGCAAAAACTCGTTAGCGCAAGAGTTCTTGCGTTAAAGTAGTTGTGCAAGAGAGCGTCTACACTGGCATGTGCTTTTGCGCAAGAGCATCCTTGCCATTATAGACGCTCTCTTGCGCAAGAAAGCGCCGATGGCCATTTTAACCATTATAGACGCTTTCTTGCACAAGAAATTCATGTTGCCTGTCTACACTGGCCTCTTGCGCAAGAACAGCTGCACAAAAGGGCTTATTCCTGAGCGGAAGCATCAGAGTTCTTGTGCAAGAAGCACTGATTTCATACAGTAGAACGTCAGTCTACTTGCACAAGAACACACAGCCAGTGTAGACAGGGAGCAAGTTTTTGCGCAAGAGCAGCCGCTTTGGCGCAAGATCGCGCCAGGGTAGACACAGCCTAAATGTTTAGGACCAAGTTATGACCCTTCCACCCTGCAGCGGGGTCTCTGACGCTGCAGAAGGAGCCGTTCCTAGATACGGCTGTCATAACGCATGAGGACACCAAATGAAATTAATGGGGAGCAGGTTTAAAACGAATAAAAGAAAGTTCTTCATCACACAGCGTGTAGTCAACCTGTGGAACTCCTTGCCAGAGGAGGCTGTGAAGGCTAGGACTATAATAGAGTTTAAAGAGAAGCTAGATAATTTCATGGAGGTTAGGTCCATAAAAGGCGATTAGCCAGGGGATAAAATGGTGTCCTTGGCCTCTGTTTGTCAAAGGCTGGAGAGAGATGGCAGGATCATTGTCTTCGGTCCACCCTCTCTGGGGCACCTGGTGCTGGCCACTGTCGGTAGACAGGATACTGGGCTAGAAGGACCTTTGGTCTGACCCAGTACGGCCGTTCTTATGTTCTTATGTACTTATATAGAAATAGGAGTAGATGAGTTTTGTAGTCTTTTTTAGGATACAGGAACTTTTAGCTTGAGATTAAAAAAAGCCAAATTTCAACCTTATTGTAAAATACATTCTTGTATTTGTGAAATAAACAAAACAATCAGGCTATTACAACAAGGGAAGGAGGGTAATCTAGTGTTTAGACCAGGAAATACTTATGACTTTTAGATTCTATTCCGAGCTCTGGCACTAATTCTTGTTGTGACCTTGAACAAGTCACCAAAAAACAGGTTTTTAAAGGTATTTAGATGCCTAACTACATTCCATTGATTTCAAAGGACATTAGGAGCATAAATAGCTTTAAAAATCTATTTCTTAGGTCATATGTTTAATAAAGTGTTAATTTTAGATGTGCCACTTTTTATGTAGCTAATTGGAGATACCTAGAGCTTGATTTTCAGAGATGCTGCATATCCACAATCCCCTACTGACTTCTACTGAAATAGTGCATGAGCAGTACCTCTGAAAGTAAAGCACCTAAAACAGAGGATCCCAGAACTTATGGAAATCTTGAAAATTTGACTTTAACCTTCAAGTACCTCAATTTATTCATTTGCAAAATTAGATTTAATATTACTTACTTCAGTACCATTCGGTGGCAATGCAAGACTTAAGTAATTAATGTTTATAGAATAATTTGAATTACTTGTATTGACAAAGAGAAAATGATACTGGTGTACAATCTGCAATAATTCCACAAAATTCAGTTGTATGATTGAGGACTGAATTTGCCTCATCAAGTTAAAAAATATTATTAGAAAATGTGCATCAAAATATGAAGCAGCCTCTTTTCTGTAATTATTATGGAACCATTTACATAAAAATATTTTGATAAAACCCATAGAGGTTCCATTGGCTATGTAACAAATCTAAATAATGGAAGGAGATGGAATGTGAATGGAAATGAGCAGCATGAACCAAATGTTTCCACTGATACCATACTAGGTCAAAGGAACTACAGACCATATATGACATGAAAGATGTTCAGTATCATTTATAAATATAGATAATGTTTTACACCACTGCTAAAAAAAAGAAAGAAGTAAAAAAGTAATAGTAAAAGTAATTGGAAAGGCTTGGCAAATCCAACACCTGTAGAAATTCCTATTACTATATACATGAACATAGATGAGAGAGAAAAGAGAGAGAAAGAGAGAACATATTAAAAAGAAAAAAATGTCTGGTTCCTGGATACTGCACTTCTACAGTATGGGATGTACAGCCTTAGGCTGGCAAACATCAGCAATCCCAGCTGGGTGCTGAGTAACCATGGAAAGAAGGATAAAATACTATCAAACACTTTCAAAGTAAAATAACTAAGTGTAAACATAATGGTTCAGTGTGTGGCTTCAGGATTCAAAAGTGCTGCAGCTCAAATTCTACCCTGTCAATCAAGCTGCAGTGTATCTGACCAATTTTTTTTCACGTGTGGGGAGTATGGGATTCCATTAATTAAGCCACTAGAAGCCTTTTGTTTATTGTTATTTCTCTAAACAAGGAAAGAAAAGTTATGTTATTGTGCTACAAGAAACAAAAACACCTTATCCTAAATTGTAGGGTCACTCTGTTTTTTGCTGGAAAACATTCATATCAGTGAGCCAAGTGTTTAAATTACTGTAACAGATGCCTGCGGATCAGGTGTCTGCAGCGGCAACGATTTTCTGCTCAGTTTTTATCAGTAATTGACAAGCACCTTCCCTTTGAGCCCCACCTTTCCCCCTCTTTTCCCTCTCCAAGTCAGTGGAAATCAGTTCAAGAAAGCAAAGGAATCAACTAATGTAACAGCCTTTTTAAAAGGTGAAGTTTTCCATTTCAAAGGAACCTCTAATCAATGATAGGGCACAAAAGGGAATGCACACATGCTTATGTGTGTACTGCATAGCCTTTACAGAAGCTTTGGGGATCATGTTCTGCAAAATCAATATAACCTAGCTAGTTACAAATTTCATATCTGCTGCATGAAACAAAAGGACATTTTATACAAGCTGGGTCACATGGATTGCATGTACCATGCTAGAAGCCTCAGTTTATAATCAAACACAAACAAAGGATGAACATAACACAATACAAAAATTATTAAAACACAAATCCTAAATTTACAGATTAAAATATGTTTTAAAAAACATACCGTGAGGTTCAGATTCCATCTATGAAGAGCTTTTTGCATCACAGCAGTGGAAAGAAACCCAGGCCAACTCAACCTTGTTTGTATATTCTAGTCTCAACACTAGTGCTTACAAGGAGGGATGTTAAAATGTGGGTAATTGGCTAACCGTAACCACTGAAAAATGTTAGCAGTTACATGGTTACAGGCACCTTCAGTGTGGAGCAGCAGCCAGCTCCCAGTGCATACTGGCTCCCGCCTACCACTGC